CATCATTAAATTTTATCATTCAGTTAATGCTATCAAAATAGTCATAGACAAAGGTGATCACATTAAGCGACGTTTACTGTATAGTGTTAAGTCCCTTAGAAACTAAGAAAATGTAATTTAAATATCGTTACTGTTTCATGAGAAGTAAAATACTTCTTTAGGGTACGAAATCAATGCTGTTTATCTTTTAAGACTGAATATGAAAAAGTAAATTTCCATGCTTTTGCTGCTGTGAAACGATTCTGGAATAAAGTGCCTCATCGTAGTCAAAATGGTCATCATACACTGATATTTTTGTATGAAAAACAAAATACCGCTTCAGCGCAAAGAATCACCAACGTCTGTCATTTAAGAAAGAATATGAATAAATAGCTGTTTTATGTTTTTTCTGTTATTATTAAACGATTCTAGAACACAATATCTTGTCACATTTAAAAATGATCATAATACAACACGGACATGGTTATCTTTGATTTCAATAGGTAGATCGCAGGGTAGAATGAAGAAAAGTTACGTTATATTTGTTCAGGCAATGTACGCTAATTTCTTTCTTTTCCATTTCTTTAATTGTTTTCGAAATAAGTACGGTGTCCTTTAATCTCATCAGCAGCGTTATGAAAGAGCCTTGTGTAGGAATAATTGATGCTCACTGGCATTAAATTTCCACAAGAATGGAGATTAAGAAGTTCTTTGCAATATTTTACTCACAATAACATCACGCAAACAAATAATATAAAAACATCTTTTAGCTTTAAAAACTCAAAAGATCAATATTCCAACCCTAGGACTTCATTAATAGTTGCATCTATAAAAACAAACAAGCAGAGGACGCAAATTTAAAGCTGGAGCAAAAACTTAAGTTTTTGAGAATTCAAGAAAGCGCATACCAGACAAGATTCATGAAACCATTCATCGCTACCTTACCTCACCGCGTGCATTTCAGTCAGTTGCTGTCTGACTTTAAGGCCAGAATTTAGTTATCTTGATACTGATGACGTATTGTAGTTTTCCAGCATTCTGCTTACTACATACGTAAAGTTTAACAGGCCAATCTTAGCGTTACTAGTCTTTGTAAAGTATTTTAGTTCTTATTTAATTTAGTTTGTAGTTCTTATTTTTACGTTTCAGACCATAAGTACTGGTCTTTGTATCCCGAAGTGCTGGAATAGCTGTAAACTGTGAAGAAAGGCTAATTAAACACTTTCCATGTGTACCGTATCTTCTACATTTGCACGAACATAGTTAAAAGTAAACTCCCTGTTCTGACTCAGGACTCAATTATATTTGCGAAAGCAATTAGAAGAAAAAGTAGTCCTGACACATTTTACTAAAATTTAAACTTTTATTTCGAATCTAACACTGTAGAGTCACTAGTTTATTTTGCAGGAGGAGAAGAGATATATGTGCAATGCCCTCGAGCTTGGACCTTTCGAAAAGGCGCCGAGTGTGCTAACAGTTACACCACGAAGGCATGCAGAAAGGTGGGAGAAAATACCTTATAACAAAAGTTTTCTTTTTTCTTGGCTAAGATATTTAAACAAAAAATAATTAAAAAAATGGTTCAATGCTTAGATTCATTATATAATTTTTCATAATTTCATAATCATTATATAGTTGAATTTAAGCATATTATATAGAATTACTCAAACCCGTTACCGAATAACTAAGTACACAGAGAAAATTCGGATATATTCTGACTTAAAACAAGTTTAACAAGTGCACACAAAAAATTAATTTAATTTTACTTTACCGTTAAACGTAATGAAATGACAAATTCATAATATAAAGTACTAAATGAGAGAGGTTTTCTTACAATGAATGATACCAGATTGAGGTTGCTATTTGAAGCATCTGTGAAGAAATAAAAGCAAGCTAGCGTTTCGTATTAAATTTTGTTCATTATGCCTTTCATCATTAATATCTCAGGTTTTTGCTACATCATTTGCAAATCATAATTATTCTATTTCCGGTGATACTTAGTTTTCCCAAGAAAATGTACCTTGGTTTCTGTTTTCTACTTTTAGTGGAGCGGAAATATGCTTTCTCTTGCCATTCAGTGTAATGGATGAGAATAAAGCACATGAAGCAAAATGAAACTGCTGAATCACCCTGGAATTTGATTAGTAACGAAAAAAAGAGCTTTTTATGGGCCCAAGATTAACTTCTACAAATATCTTACATTTAATTGCTATAGAATTTAAAAATGTTTCTCGAATTATTTGAGACATTTCTTTTGCAGGAAATGTTTTGAACTGCACTTGAATTGCAGCTTGAATGTGGTGAGAAACTGGTGAGAGTTAGCCTTGCTTATTTAGCTGTATATTGATGTTTCATTAATTGAGATTCAACATGCTTTTATTGCCTTCCAGAAATATACAAGTTTCTTAATTAAAAGCAATATGCTGAACTGCTACTGAACCGAACATTAGAAGCATACGAATATTAACCAAGTCCAAAATCTGTCCAAATTATATACTGAATCCATAAAATACCTACAGGTTGTTTACTTCATGTTAACGCATTTTTAAGCCGTCTAATTTTATTAAAACATTTATTCGACAATATTTTAGTTCAGAAAATAGATGAGAAAACTTCAAGCGAATCTAGGATCTCCAAAGACAAATGAAATAACTCGATGAATTTTTGAGAAATCTTCCACATGAAATTTATAAAACTTCCAAGGAACAGTAGCTTTGTAACAGAACGTTTTATTTATATTCTATAGATCTTACTAACATTATAAATTTTATTAACTGAATTTCACACGATTTTGTATGTTCTTAGCGCCACAGCTTCAATTTTGTAACACCATACGTAGAATTACAGTAATAACGAACTAAAAGAAGCTGAAGAAGGCCGAAGATAGAAGTTATATAATCCAGACTCAAAATAAAGCCCGTTGCAGATATTTTTGCCTCTGTCTCAGTTTCGAAGTGTTAGTCATGAAATAACCTGAATTTTGCCCAGTTTCAATGCTTGCTTTCGATAAGTCTACGAAACTAAATCCACATAAAATCTTACAGCAAGAACTCTTCTTATGCGGACTGTGACAAGCGACGAAGGATATAAAACTCGCATATAATCACTTGCCTACTGTTTGTCAAAATTGGGACGGTGTTAAAAGGAAAAGTAACGTGTTTATCCGAAAATAAGACTGGATCTTGTATTGGTTTTAGTTCTAAAAGAGGAATTAATATTTATTTTCAGAGGAAATCTTATTTTTTCATGTATAGCAATGAACATTTATCCGCTTACAACATTCTACATTTACTCATATATTCAAGAATCTGCATTTATTTGCTGCTCGAAATTTACCTTGAATTTCTTGCGATTACATTTTTTATTACAAACTATTGTCTTTAATCTCTCATTCATAGCAATAGAGCTGTCTTTAAATGAGCAATTCCTATCGCTGCAGCCAGCTTATAGCGCATTGGCAACACAGCTGTCAGTGACTTTTATCCCATGAATTCTTCACTCAAGTCACGACATCTTGTGAGTAAGACTTACGTCCTCACTGATTTCCATTTTGTGTGCAATGTAGTCAACACAATTACATTCTTTGTCAGAAAAGTTCCAGGGCATTTTTTAAAATTTTTTATTTTATAATACTTAAAAAGGAAAAAATGTTTTTAATGTTATCTGGCATGCCTTCTTACTTGACATGACCTCAACCATGTTTCTGCGCAAACCCATTAAGTGGCAGGTCTGTGCTCAGCAACCCATTGTTCGGGTTGTTGTCGCATTCGTTAAGGTGACTCAAGGGATGCTGATTATTAGCAAAGAGTTAACATTAAGTCCTGTGATAAGGTCAGGAAAACCCCTAGTGAAACGTGGAACATTATTAAGCAAGCATATGCAGGTGAGGCACTTTCAAAAAGTCGTGTTTTCGAGTGGCACAAAAAGTTTCGTGAAGGCACAGAGATTTAGTGCAAGACGATCCCAGAGCTCTACAGCACATACCGATGCAAAGATGGAGCAGGTAAGGCATTTATTGCAAGAAGATTGTCGTGTAAATGTGCGTAGGATATTAGAAGAGCTGGATTTGAATTCTCATAAGCTTTGTACTTTGTGCTGGAACATTTCTGACAAAGGATGTATTATAGTTTAAAATTAATATCTTAAAATACCTACTATTTCGGTGACGCAGATGTATGTCTTCAGTTTCGGAATTTTGTGCTCAAATTTAATTTTTCCAATTTGTCTATATTATTAGAATTATTCCTCTTAGGAAACCTAAAAAATGTTGATATTTCACATTTATACATAAAACAAAGTTATCAGAGACCTATTTAAATTTGATTCCAGAAAAATGGAGATACATATTTCACCTTAAATTTGCTCAGAAAGGAAGTCATTCCAATGACTTAAATTATACCACTGAATGATGAAAAAGAAGGAATTATTTTAGGACAATATTATATATAAACCCTTATTGAAGCATTTATTAAAAAAAGAAACGGGGGTGCTACAATGACTTCAATTTAAAAAACAGGGAACCTTAACCTTGTTGGGGAGAGGGAGAATTGAACTGTTAGTCAATTTCATTTTATGAAATTATATTGAGAAAATATATGAGAATCAAAATATGCCTGCAGGGATAAAAATCAAATGACAGCTTGGTCATTACGGGAGCATATTCTTTTCACAAATGGTTCAGTTGAGCTAATAGTATTTCGCGATAAAGAACGATGGCACACCACTGATTGAATGACTACGAATCTGAATCCTAATAAATGAACCAGGTTTCAAATTTCAGGGAGGGAGGCTCAGCAAAGACGTTTCCATAGATTTCTGCACAAAAAGCGAACATTAGCCATTTCCTATTAGAAAATCTTTCAAGAAAATATTAGATAGATAGCTTTCGTATGCTCTATCATTAGCAACTAAGCAAACAAACTGTCATAAACAGCAAGTATTATTAACATACATAAAATAAAATTCTAAACTCAGTGTATAGTAATTTGTATTTGTTGAATATGTAATTACGCAGTACAAACCTTCTCGTGGAGGCCAAATCACCCCTTTCTACCGCCACAAGAAACCTCTTCTCCTCGAGGGTGAGAGCACCCTCCTTCGCATCAGGCCTGCTCATGTTGTTGGCGGCAAAAGTTGGAGGAGCGGTAGGACTCATGATCTTTGATTACGGCTGTGTATACCACCCTCTCTTTAACTGCTCTTGCCGTGAAACGTGCGGCCTGTCGACAGGAATCTTGTAAATATCATCGTTGCGATCGCCGTTTTCCTGCCCTCTGTCGATCAAATATCTGTAAAAAACAAGACATAAATATTAAAATTTATTTTCTAGCTTTTAAAGTCTGCAGTGAATGTGGATTGATTCTGCATTCCAGAGATGAGTAACAGATTATTAAATAAATCATTTAATAAATAAATTTAAAAAGAGTTTTATTATTTATTTATTTTTGATTCAAAGAAAAGGGTACAGAATACCATTTTCTTTTCTATACACATCAATTTAACGCGTAATTAAAATACTATTGACAAAAGTAAATTGTTTATACTGTTCATTCTTCTACTTGCTCTTAGAAATAATTGAAACGTTAAAGGAATGGGAAATAGAACATTCTTGATCAAAATGACTTCAGCCTATTTCAACTTATTGAAAATAATAGTTGGAGACCATACCTTTCACAAAAAATGCTGGGCACATAAAGTGAGTTTAGCTGGTGATGTATTTATAAAAGAATTCAAAGAATTAAATGCCAGCCGAAACGAAAACAGTTTTTTTTTGCACTCGAAAGAAATGAAAGGTATGTATTTAAGGTACTTAAAAGGAAATATACCTCAATTGATAACAAAAGTTTACCTTGCATCTGTTTTAATTAGAAGGTATCCTTTGTTGGAAGTAGTCATTTATTTACATGAAGAGCAATATTACGTTATTATAATGTTATAAGCCCTGTGTTACTTGAACAATATGAAGCATCTTGTTGCCTTTTTCAACAACTAGGAGAATGAAAATTTGAGCATTGGTTTCCTAAATGAATGTTTTAGAAATAAAATTTTGTCTCATAAAATACGGATTCAACAAACTTTAGTTGCTAAATTCTGTCAAAAATTATGAACCTTATTCTAAATTTAGAAGGATCAAACTATGAATTCGCTCACATTTGCAAAGTCTGTTAGGAGACTTAAAGTTTTACCTTGAGCGCCAATGCGATGGTTATTTTGGAGATAACACAGAGTGCATGTTGATGAACGAGAAAGGTGGAGTTGATCTAAAGCACAGAATGGCATTGATAATAATAACAGAGAAGATTTTGAATTAAAAAACCTTACACATGCTATCCAACGCAACAAATGAATTCGCTAAGCATATTTGCAGATTATTTTGTCCATCTGTAATTCGCGAACGCTCCTACATAAGTTCTAAAGCCAAAAATCACATAAAAAGAAAGAAAATACTCTAAAATAACATAAATTTATTTTCCAAAGAGATTACAAAAGATGAGCCCTTATGGGTGGATAAAATCAATTTCATAAACAACTTCTTACAATGACACTCATAAGACATATATAAAATCACTTTGATGTTGTACATATTTTTAAAAATCTACATAGGCAGCTTTTCAGAGCATTCATATAGTTGATATCGCGGATGTTGAGAGGTATTTTAGTATCTAAAATATCGTAGTTACAGACAAAAGGCAAGAACTCAATGAAGGTTTGTTTCATATTATTGCAATAGCCTATTTGAATTACTGCTCGAAAATTAGTTCGAAAATTAGTAGAATTAATTTAACTTCTATTTATTTATTTAATTATTTATTTTCGAGTAACTGCAACATTTGTTTTCTGCTTTTGAGTAATTTAAATTTTTTAATGAGACATATATTTATCCCTGATGATAAATAATTATCCAATAACGATTCTTATATTCTCAAGTTTTTAATAGCTAGAAACAAATCACTCGCACAACGAAGAGTTTAACTACTAAATAAGCAAAAAGGAAAAATAAAGCTTCCAGAAAAAACTGAGTAAAGAAATTAGCAAGCATGCTAATAAATTTAAGTTTGGTATTTTATTTATTTTGTTCCATATGTGCCTGATGTTAAATTTTTATTACATAATTTAAATCTTTCTAAAATGTGCAGAGTAATTCGCTACAGCGAGTGCGAACGTCTGGAAGAGCACGTTACTGAAAGACGTAAAGGAATCAGATAGCACGGTCTGAAACGCCATCGACATGTGCAAGTGTTAGAACACAGGAAATGAAAGAGCAACACATAAGTGAAGAGCATTATTTTGTTTATCAAAATATAATAATTGAGATGTTAAGAGAGGTCGCAGAAGGTGTTCAAAGTGTCGGCTACCAGCTACAACACAAGCTTGATAGCGGCGCAGCATGAAATTACGGACTCGGAAACTACGGAGATTCGAGTGGCATGACCATCTTTCCTGTCCACGTGAGTATCGTGTACCGGACTTTTCACGTTCATTTCAGATCCGGAGATGGTGAAGGCCAATGAATGCTACCTCAAACTCGACTCACTGTTGTCCAAATGTCGCATTTAAGTGATCCTGAAAGTCACCGTTGAGATGAGTTGAGGCGCCATTATGCTGAGAATCACATATTATGCTGCAGTGACTGCTGAATGTGTTAATAATTCAACAGTTCGGGTAAGACTGCCTCCAAACAAATGTTAGAACACAAATGAACAAGCAAGAGATATAGTCTATTACGTGGTCCTCTACAATACCGGACCAAACTCTGACAGCAAACGGCTTTTGTGCTGCAGATGTTCGTGCAACGTGAGGTTACTCCATTGCCTGTGCATGCGATTATGTGCAATGTAGCAGCCTTCCTATGTAAAGTGAGCTTCGTCTGTGAATAAGACGGAAGTTTTGAGGAGTGTGGAGTTAGACGCACATTTTTGCAAACAGCATTGACGAAAAGCAACCTTCTATGGGTAATTACTCGTATTAGGCTGCAGTAGCTGAATGCCCTGCTTATGGTATGGATGCAACTGGTTCGAATTCAAGATCATCCAGACAATGGTTTGGAAAAGATCAAAACAAGTAACGATAGTTCCTATACTGGTATCTGGAGTGTTTCTTAAATGAGGGACCATCTCTTTGATTTCATGGGTCCGTGCTACTCATTTCTGATTCATACGGCGTCTCTCGAAGGAACCCATTTTAGAAAATCTTTAATGAGTCATGCAGATATCTGGGGGCTCGGAATACGCCTCATTTGGGTAATTCTCCCGGTACAGACGCACAGCGGCTTGCCTGTTACAATCAGCAGCTCGATATGCTAGACGCTTATTTGCTAATTACGCAAATGTGAAACTTTTTACAAATGTAACTTCAAGATTGCACAAGAGTCGGCTTTGCTTCAACATGTACCTTTACCTTTGCGTGAGGTTGTTGATTGACGTTTTCCTGCACGGTTATTCCCCAACAGCTCCCTATATTGCGTTAAGGTTGCGTTTTTGTCTTTATCTTTCCATGTGATTCCAATACGTTTTAGAGTAACATTACCCACCCAGTAATTTGTACATGCGGTAGCAAATCACCCTCTATAAAAAACGTTATTATGATAATATCAGTGTGCAGATACACAATTGCAATGAAGAATATGCACATTTGTTGCAAAGGATTTAAAATTTATTTAATAACTTGTACCTGAGATAAATATGAAATAAATATCTAGTTTGAAATATGTCTATTTATGAAAGCTTTGGTCTTTATCCACAATTTTTGCACCTTATAGGGCATTTCTCCCACCTTCTTAACGTGCCTTCGTGGTGTAGTGGTTCTGCACGCTGGGCCGGTATTCCAGAGTTCCGTGGTTCGATTTTCCGTGGTTCCATGGTTCGATTCCCGGCGAAAACGATTGCTAAGTTTTCCTCTCTTCGGCTTCCAAAAATACCTAATGTCTCTACAGTGGCGCCCGAAGTAAAACGAATTGTGGATGATGACTCTCCACACCCAGGATTTGGCGATTGGGTCCCCTAAAAACCCCAGTCACCCTTTAAAAGAGGGAGTATATAAGGTATTTCTCCCGCTTTCTTAGAGTGCCTTCGTGGTGTAGTGGTTCTGCACGCTGGGCCGGTATTCCAGAGGTTCGTGGTTTGCTTCCTGGCGAAGGCGATTGCTAAGTTTTCATCTCTCTGGCTTCTAAAAATATACCTAATGTCTCTAAAACCTTTCTTGCAGAAAAAGAATGATAGATTTTAATTTAAAATAAACAAACGTTATTCATCTTAAAGAATGATTATTCATCATCATCAATGGTTATTTATCACCAGAAAAGAAATAAATATTCTGTATATAAAAATAACTTAATGTTTTTATTATTTGATGTAATATTTATTTCTTATGAGTTCAATATGTGGTGTGGATAAGACTATTTTTTAATTATAATTGTATACATTTTGAAAAGCTAAAATATTTTTCAAGGCAAAGAAAGCAATGTATATCAGGAACAAATTTCTGAGGGATAAAGAGTACTGTCATTTACCTCTTCTTAAAAAAGAATACTTAGTTAACAATAAGCTTTTCAAAAACAGTGTCGAGTAATCTGTTAGTGCATCTTCGAGAATGAAATACTCAAATGCATGAAAAAAGACTAATCAAACTAAACGGGTATTGTATGATAAGGAAGACACGTTAATGGTGATTAGGAAAGACAATATTATTGTATATTTAGAGATAAAAATGTGTAATGATTTAAATTATTATAGAGGTTTGAAAGACTTGTAATCAGCTTAAGAGAATACAATTAAGTTATAAGAAATTTAAGAGAAAAAATTGGGTTTCTCTGTGTTGGACAGTTTCGAGAAAAGCGCTTGTACATTAAAAATGTAAAAATAAAATAAAACAAGAAATTTATTATTGAAGTTATATATCTAATCTACTTAATTATTTCATAGACCTGACGTAATTTTTGGCTGCGTCGCGATCTACCAGAGGAAAAAATGATATATAAAATAAGGTTTCAGTAATGTAATGGCTCGTGACTGACTCGAAAGCACGCCTCAATTGGCAAGTAGAACGCGATTGATGGGTTGGCCAGCTCGGTCGTTTGTGATATCAGTAACTCAACCTTATGAAATCCTATAGCAAAAGTAGCTATTGCAAAGAAATGACAATGAAAATACAGTTTCAATGAAAAAAGTATATAGTGGCTTTGCCTGAGCTACTATATCAAAGCTGCGATACAATATATTAACTAACTATTTAATTTGACACAAATTAGCAAAAAACATATTCATCATTTTCCTCACCAGACTATAAAAGT